AGCCGCGTTAAATCTTGGGGCTAGTTATCCCACCCTTTGAGGTGCCTCCCTCGTAGCGAGGAATTAATAGCTTCCACGTTGAACGTGGTTTTCCACGTTTTCAACGTATATCCAAACACGCTATTATTCTTATCCTTATTGTCGACTTTGAAACACTATGTAAATTATGTTAAAAATAAATATGCAAAATGATCCATCTTTAGTTTTATATAACTTTTTTGTTATAAAGTAGAAGAATATATAGCCATAGAAAACATATTAAACAACATAATGCAATATTAAAATAAAATTGAATTAAGAAAAAAAAATATGAAGTCAATAACAATTAAGAAAAAAAGTGAAATTAAGAATATGCAATGACGAAGGAATGTGAACAAAAATTGAAATTGTGTAATGAAGTGCCACGGTAAAAATAATGAAAATGTTTAAGTAAAGAGAAGAATTAAGCTCACTATCATTGATTAAGATATGAAATATTAAAATAAAATTGAAATTGTTGTTTGTCTTTGACTAAAAAAAAACCTCTCAATCTAAATAAAGATATGGAAAAAGAGGGGAGTTCAAATTATAGCAAATAGAATTTGATGAAAATACAATTATTAAAAAAGATGATTTGGCCTTTCATTATCTGTATTAAAAAGTTTAACTCCCAATACGTTATGAAAAACGATTTCTATGTACCAATTTCTAGTTAGTCAATTTGCTTTTTTAGAACATTAGTGAATTAATATTCGATAAACACAACACAAATATTTGTGTAAAGAAAATGAAGCCACATCAGCTCAGTGTGTTTTTATTTTTCAAAAAACAATTATGTTATCTCTTAAAACCACAATAAATATTACATAATTATATATGTCAATCATTTCTTTATTCTATCTGTATGAAAGTCTAGTTAGTTACCAAACTATCTCAGAATAAATTTAAAAATTGTTGGTCAAAACAACTTTTAGATATAAAGATGTAAAAAAGTTATTATAATTTAATGATCATTATAAATAAAATCGTTAACTGTCAACTAAAATCCTAGTCAATATTTAATAGATACAACATTATAGTAATAATTTTGATTTATTTTTTATTGAACAAAAATTTAAGTTGATATAAAAATTATAAATAAATATATATATATATATATATATATATATATATTCACCGAACCGTATATATAATGCATTACACAAATATTTAATATACTGATAATACAGATTTTTATAATATTAGTAAACTATTTTTTACATGATATGTATCATATAATCATATTATTTATATATAAATATCTATAATGCTTGTAATAACAATTTAACTTCTGTCAGAAAAAAAAATTATGTTAATATAAGTTAACATTTATTCTTTAACACATAACTTTTTCTTTTCCTTGAGAAGAACGTAAAAATATTTCTCTGTAAATATATAAATACAGTACAAGATGGAGTAATTTTCTGTAAAAAAGACTTGAAAGTTAAAAACACTCGATTTTTTCTTATAAAGAGACATTAAATATTTTAAAATATACAAGTACGATTTCTTTGAATAAAAAATAGAAAAAGAAAAAAAAAACAAAATTAAAATCATGAGTGTGGTGAAATGACTAATACCTCTCAATGCTTTTGTTCGAACTACAAACAAATTTCCTATTATTATTATAAGAAGATGAAGATAATTAAATTAATAAACATACAAATGTCTATAATATGAGATTTTTGAATAATAATTAAAAATAAATTTAAATTTAAAGTAAATAATTTCATACTATCAATGCATAGACATATGTATTAATTAACCTTGATGTATAACATTCTTGTATAAAAAAAATGAATCCCAAGAAAGTTTTTGTAGTTGAGTTTGCATGCGCTTTGTTGGCGTGCAGACGAGTGCATACCTCTATTAAAGAAAATTAATTGGCTGAGTGGTCCTCTGTATATATTTCATGCTGTACCTTATAGAAAATAATGGACCACATTCTATATCTTCCTTTAATCTCTCCATTTGTTCACTAACAAAACAGCAAAATTTACAAACTCACATTAATTATATTCTGTTGCACCCCTAATTTATTAGGTTATTCATATCTCAACTTCTCTGATAAGATTGAGGGTTAAATTTTTCTTTCTGTTTTTATTATTTAAGGTTAATTAAAACAATATAGTTGTAAAAATATCACGGTTGTAAGTAAATATAAATATACCAAAGTCACTACTAGAAATATGCCATTTACCTAAGGATTTTCATGCGAAAAAATATTTGTAAGAAATTGTTGCAAAAATTCTTGCAAATATAAATCTCCAATAAATTATTGCAAATATTTTTGTAATTTTAAATTTGCAGAAAAGTCTTACAAATTTTACTACAAAATATTAATTATATGAATTTTTTGTTACAAATAAAAATTTCTAAAAAAATTTGCAGGAATTTTTTTATTTTCCTACAAATTTTGTTTTAAATATAAATTCGCAAGTAATTTATTTATTTTTTGTGAGTAGTATTTCCTGCAAATTTTCTTATTTATGATTATTTTTATTAATTTAAAAACTGAAGATATTTTTGAATACACATTTCCTTCTTCCTTCACTGTACTACTTGAGATAGTGACACCTCATCACCTCCGTAAACGTAAACGCACTATCTTTTGATTTCCTCATCACCGTAACACCGCATAACTAAGTCACCTCCGTAAACCTCCGCACACCGCACACCGCACACCGCACACTTTTTCTCAAGTAAGTCACTGTAACACTTCTCTCAACATTTCTCTCCTTTTCTCGTCCCGCATATGTTAGGGTTTTCGTTTTCTCTCCTTTTCCTAATTTTTCTCACCGCACAACACTTCATTTTTTGTGTGCTTTTGCATGTAGATTTGAAGTACCAACTCAATGAGATAGAAGACAATGCTTGTAATCTGAAAAATGTAAAAGCAGTTGGCTGAAGGTAAGATGTTGGTTGGATTAGGTGAGAAATTTAGACAAGGTTAACTAGGTCCTGTAAAAAAAGCTATCTCTGTGTAGAATTAGGTGAGAAAGCTGCTAAATCTTTTTCGTTGGTATCAAATTAATGTATCATATGTGTAGAATTAATGTCGTGATTCGTATTCTGTACAAAATAGGATGAATTGCTATGGGCTGCTTCTTGGCTATATAAGGAAATTGATAATAAGGAGGTAACTGAATCTGACTTTAAAATTCTTGAGCATGCATACAATCAACTTCTATCAGATTCAACAAAAATCCCTACTACATATAAAGATCAAAAGAAAAGAATTTTGGAACTACTTGAAGAAAACCGTTTACTGAAAAATGAAAATGAAAAACTCTTAGAAGAGGTAGAAAAAGGTTTTTCAACTTCAGAAGAAGTAATCAAGCTTAACAAAGAGATTGATCTATTGAAATCAGACCTATCAAAATTCACACTAGGAACCAAAAATCTTGAGCATCTTTTAAAACACTCCAGGAGTGGGAAAGATAGATTAGGACTAGAATATGTTAACTCTAAATTAGAAATTAAAACAGGAACATACGCATCTTCTTCGTATGAAAAGAACGGACATTTTACGTCCAAGTGCAGTCACATGCACAAGAAGAGGGATTCCAAAACCTCCAGTTCTAAGACTCATGGACCCAAATCCATTTGGGTACCAAAGACTAAAATAGTGTCTGTTGCAGATCTGTTCAACAAGAACAAAAAGTGTCCAGTCATGGTACCTGAACAGTGGTTGCTCGCGACACATGACGGGCGAAAGGTCTATGTTCCTAGACCTCAAGTCTAAGAAAGGAGGGCAAGTCACATTTGGAGGAGGACAGAAAGGACATATCATGGGGATAGGTAAAATAGGTATCAACTCCTCTATTTCCATTGATAATGTTCTGTACGTTAAAGGATTCACGCATAATCTACTAAGCATAAGTTAATTGTGTAATAGTGGTTATGAGGTATCCTTCAACAAAAATAAATGTATTGTTAGTCAACCTAATTCATTCGTATTATTTACAGCTAACAGATGCAACAACCTGTATAAAATAATGCATAACGAACTAGAAAATTAAAATGTTGATTGTCTAGTTTCATATGAAAATTAGTGGATCTGGCATAAGAAACTTGGTCATGCAAGCCAGAGATTAATCTCAAAGATGAAAAGGCATAACCTCGTGAAAGGACTACCAAATCTTGTGCATCAGACGAACAATGTATGTGAAGCATGTCAAAAGAGGAAACAAATTAAAAGTTCATTTCAAAGTAAAAATCATGTTTCCACCTCAAGACCTCTTGAACTGCTCCACATAGACTTATTCGGCCCCACTAGGACAACATCTATAAGTGATAAAAGATATGGATTGATCATTGTAGATGACTACACTAGATGGACATGGGTTTTGTTCATAACTCACAAAGATGAGTCTTTTAAGGTATTCCATGTATTCTGTAAAAGAGTTCAAAATGAAAAAGGAATATCAATTGCTTTTATTAGAAGTGATCATGGGTGATGGCATCCTTACTTGAATGAACTTGAGATCATCAACAAAGAATAGGACGCCTTCTCCAAGGATCAAGTTCTTCAAAGGTGGCACAAGGTTTTAGGGTGGATGATGATGGAATGGACAAAAATGGAGGTTGGGTAGAAGGTGTTTGAGGAAATTCTTGAGAAGGGTACTCTAGGTTTGGCTCACTTCATGATGATGAAGGTCACTTCTAGGGTGGTTTCTCTCAAGGTGGAGATGGGAGGGAGGTGGCCGAATTAGTCAAGGGTGACTAAGGAAAGATATAAAGGCACAAAAGGCTTTCTTTATATTTAATATCCAAAGTATTTACAAGATGTGGTGCCTAGGGTTTTTATAAGAGTGGGAGGCATCTAGGGTTGCATTGGCTAAAATTTACAATGCCAAATGCACACCAAGTGAAACCCAAATTAACCCTAGATGCAACTTGGTGGCCAATGATGTAATCTTTGGGTTTAGTTAGGCTACATCTAGGTGCATGATAAGACCATGCAACCTTTTCCCTCCACTTGGGCCTAAGCCTTTCTAAGTCCAAACACCACCAAAAATACGTCTGTCTCCCTAATTAAATACCTTAGCCCAAAATTAAAAACCTATGATCTAAAACACCCCATAATACAAGGGTAAAATGAGAAATACAAAAGAAAATAAATCCTATGACTAAGATACCCATTTAGTTTACTATCAGATCGAAGTAGAATACCTTGCCCTAGATTTTTCTTCAAATATCTAACAACCCTTAAGGCTGCCTCCCAATGCTCTTCACGAGGTTGCTACATAAACTGAGACAAAATGTGTACAGAATAAGCAAGATCAAGTCTAGAAATTAATCACCACATAAGTCTTTGATAGGGTTCCGGATCTTCAAGAGGTGTACTAGAAGCCAATGCTAGCTTATGGTGTTGTTCCACTAGAAGATCCGTAGGCTTGACACCTAATAAACATGTGTCTTTAATGACTTCCAATGCATATTTTCATTGGCAAAGATAAATCCCCAGATTATGGGTTACCTCCAACCCCAAAAAATATTTTAAGACTCCCAAATCCTTCATATGAAAGCATGCACCTAAGTAAGCTTTAAAAATTTTCATGACTGAAATATCATTCCTTGCAATAATTAAGTCATCCACATAGACTAGCACATAGATATGTATTTCTCCCCTATGCAATGTAAAAAGTGAGTAATCTGAATAGGATTGAACAAATCCATAGTGCTTCAATTTCATAGCCAACTTAACAAACCAACAATGAGAAGCTTCTTTTAAGTCATACAACGACTTTTTCAAGCTACAAACCAAATTCGGGTCAGTGGACACCTCCTTAATCAAGTCATCATGGAGAAAAGCATTATGCACATCCATTTGATGTACTTCCCACATTTTAATTGTTGTCACTGCCAAGAAGGTACGTACGGTCCCCATTTTTTCCATTGGGGCAAATGTCTCATTATAGTTTATTCCCTATATCTGATGGTGTCCAAATATAATAAGTCTCGCTTTCAAACATTCTATGCTCCCATATGAGTAATTTTTTATTTTGTATACACATTTACTTTCGAGTGCTTTTTTTTTCGAATGACAGGTTCTACAGAACCCATGTCTCATTCTCTTCCAAGGCTCGTATCTTGTTGGCCATTGCAGCGTGCCAACTAGATCCTTTACGACTTCCTTAAAATTATTAGGATTTTTCCCTACTGTCACAACTACAACAAAATTTTGATGTCTAACAGAAAATCGTTCACAAGATACAAAGTAAGTAATAGGATAAGATGAACTTTTCGAGTACTTTACTTTTTTGAAAGGTATGAGTGACATAATCATTATGTCTTGTCGATGGAATTTTGTTTCTCATCCCCCTTCCCATTTTTGGCTCCATATTTTCTTCCCTAGTCTCCCATCCTCTTGCATCGTCACAACATCAGCCACGCTTACTCCCTCATCAGCTACCACAATAACTCCATTATAGTCTCCACGCAACCCCTATTGGAGTTGCGATTGCTCTTCTTCTTGCAAGACCACAAATGCACCCCCGTCTAAGTAATGCATCATAAGTCTCCCACCAATATCATTAGCAGCATATTGAATATCATAATTAATGCGAGGAGTATAAAGAGTGTTGTCTTGTGGCATAACAAATGGAAATTCATGTTCATAAAATTTCACATTTCTAGAGACAAAGTATTTATGGGATTCCAAATCATACAATTTCTATCCCTTTTTCCCATAAGAATACCCCACAAATATGCCCTTTTGACTTTTACTTGCAAACTTTCCTCGTCATGGCCTTGATGATGCGCATAACATAAGCAACCAAAAATTTTTATGTTATTAAATTTAGGGACTTTATCAAATAATTTTTCATATGGTGTCAAATAATTAAGTACACTGGATGGTGTGCGATTAATTAAATAACAAGCTGCCAACACACATTCACCCCAAACTTGCATTGATAAATGACCCTAAAATCTAAGTGTTCATGCCACATTCATAATATGTTGATGTTTTCTTTCAACTCTTTCACTTTTTTGTGGAGTACCCACACATGATGTCTCAAACACAATCCCATTCTTTTAAAAAAACATCATGTAGACAATTAAATTCAGTGTCATTGTCACTTCGTACTTTCTTTATTTTCTTATCAAATTGTCTACCAACAAAGGCAACAAAGTTCATAAACATATGTTCAACCTCAATTTTATTGCATAACACATAAACTCAAACTACATGCAAATAATCATATACAATTGTCAAGTAACATTGCGCCCAACATGATATGAAGGAGTTTGATAAGGTCCCTATAAATCACAATGAACTAATTAATTCAAACAAACTACTGGCATTGTTCTCACTTAATGAAAAACTATCCCTATATTGCTTAGCACGTGGACAGACATCACATGTTTTGTTATTCTTGCTTCTACTAAATTGATTCATATAAGGGATAAACTTTAACACCTTTTTCGATGGATGACCCAAACATTTATGCCACAAATCTATTGACGAATCCCTATCGAAATTCAATGCATGCATCTTCGAAACACCCAAAAAAATAAAGTCCATTGGTCCGTTCACCCGCTCGAATCAACTTCCTCATCGTCCAATCTTGTATTACACATAATGAATTAGTAATTTGAATGATACAATTTGTGGGATTGATTAATTGTGTTAAGTTAGACGAAACACATTCACAATTCCTACTGAGGTTTTGAATATGACAAATATAATACATATTGTTATTCCTAACATGTGCATTAGTGTTTCAGATGGATAACAATAAGTTCAGGCAAAAATGAAGGACGAAGTATGATCAAGCATAATTGAATTGAACAAGACATCAGACGATAGTAAAGCTAGTATCAAGACTAAGGTTGATCCAGGCCTAAATCAAATACATGATAAGACGAATCTATCAGCTGAAGCTTGAGGGATTAGACACAAGACCAAAACAGGCATCATATGAGACTAAGTTAAGAACGGGACGAAAGTTAGCTAAACATCAACATAGACTTGCAAATCATTAGATGAAGCATAACAAACAAGTAGGCGGAGTCATCACTCTCAAGATTAAACGAAAGATCAAAAGTAAAATGTGTATCTAGACGTAGTTGGAAAGTAATGAAGCGCGTCTGAAGTCCACTAATCACATTGAGTA